GTCAGGCAGAGCGTGCGATCTGGGGTTCGTGCGTGTGCGTGCGCCAAAAGCTCCTCCAGGAACGGCAAGTATGATTGTGTGGATGATTGGATGCCGTCCATTTCGCAGAAAACACCCCGCATGAGCGTCAGCGGAGAGCGTTACTTCTTGCTGTGACGACCACAACGGGACCCATCCAGCCGGTGCGCAGGGAAAAAACGGTGGTAAGCGGCGGCGGCTGTGGCTCCCAGCCCCGTCCGCTGCCGTCCGCCACGTGCTCGGCACCTGTGGCCGACACCAGGGTTATTTCTCGCCGTGCGACGGCAACTGAGCAGCCCACGGCGCCATATTGCAAGCCAGCGGCCCCGGCGCGGGGGGGGGGGGGTCGAAGGCGGGGGCGGACAGTGGCCGAGCGGCGCCGGCCGCCGTCTGATGAGGCCGCCCCGCTCTGATGCCCGCCACCGAGCCCACATCGCGCTGGAAAACCCAGCGCCAGCCAAAGGCCACGAGCTAGAGAAAACCACTCACGCCCACTCCGTGCACGGAGACTCGGATGGGATTTACGTGCTGGACAGCGTATGCACATCATAGTTCATTTAAACAGGTGGGTTGGGGTCGTTAAAGTGCAGAAATCTGATTTCAGTTTCTAGTATATTTAGGACACGGTGTGAAAAATGCCCTACTGCCGACACAATAATGATGTGATACGTATAATACGCCGAATCTGTAGTTCACGTCGCTCTTCTTCAGAACCACAGAAAAGAAAAGTCATGCTACAGATCCATGCCAACCATCAAACCATCCATAATGAGATGGCACGTCTTTTCTGTTTGCAACTAACAAATATTGGTTTGTTGCGGGTTCCATCACATTATTGTAACGCTACAATCGCGTGTACCATGAAACTGTTCTTGACACAACGTGTGAAGGTTGCAAAGTGTATTCGTGTTTCGAGGAAAGCGCATTGCAGGTCATGGAACAGACGTGTGAACTCATTCACGCGAGGAGACCGTCCAGAAAAAACTGTTCGGTACAGCCGCCGCCATAGGCGGATCCCGGGGGAGGGGGCACGGGGCCATGGCACCCACCAAAACCTCTGAGTTTGTTTTGCCCCCCCCCAAAAAAAAAACATTCCCTGAACTTCGTGAAAGTTTCGTCTACTTACCATCTGTTTTAACTTTAACCGTTTTAACTGTTTTGTCCTAACTTCTGTTTAAGATTCAAAAGCATTTCGGTGCTTTTTTCGGTTTTGAATGGTGTCCCTACTAGGTACTCGCGAGAGGCACCATGCACTGGACCTCGGATCCCACACCAGCCAGCTGGCGACGAACGGTTGCCCCCCTGCTCCAAAAAAAACTCCAGGCTAGATCCGCCCCTGACTGCCGCAATGGTCGTTCTCATAGTTGATGTCATTGGCGTTCAGGGAGTTCAACGTTAATCAATGCCAACATTAGTAAAATAACGATGATACTGCACGACGCTTAAGTATTGATGGTGCTGGCCAAAGTGCTACTCAACCTGATGAATGCGATTGAAGCCTTTAATTGCTGCTCATTGCATTCAGGTCGGTAGAGAGCACAAAAGATTGGTAACTTCACTCGCATATGTCGAAATGTATGACGTCATCACTAACCTTGAAATTCGTTCATTTATTCTCCACTAAAATAGCTGAATATTGCTCAATCAGGACACTGTGAATTATGATGGTTCCACGGCAGTTGCTCCGAGGTCACCACTCGTTTGGTCTCTTCTGGACAGCTTATCAACGCCCAGTGCTTCGTCCATCCACTTTTCCCCATCCAGTTTTCAACACAGAGGAGAAATGCCCGTCCGGGCGCGTAACGCGCGTTAGGAAATACTAAGGTACCGCTCGTGCGAATGGGGAGCCATTGATCGCCGACATGAGACTCATGGGTCTGGTAACGTAAAGGCTTGTACCTCCTCTAGAGGTACCGCTATAGAGGTACCAATTTAGAGCGAGTTCATGACGCGACTGTTTGGCACTGCGCCAGAGACCCCGGGTGATTTTGACACCAAGTACGGACTGCTACACATTTATCCACGTTGAGGGTCCCTGGAATATTTTGCACATCCGTGATAGGTGAGGGGCTCCCTGAAGGTCGAGAGGCCTTAAAATTTTTCGTTCTCGCACCCTTAGTGAGCACCTGGCCCTACGAATTTACGAAAGGTTCCGCAATGAATACATGTAAGCTGGGGCCCTCAATTATCGCGCACCCCCGACCACACCCCGCCATGTGCGCCCGAAGTCATTTCGCCGCATCATCGGCCCAGAAGAGCCGACCTGCGCCGCCACCGGCCGCCGGCTGTCGGCTGGGTCGGCCGGCCGGCCGGCTCTCGTCGCCTGCGCCCAGCATTCAGACCGTCACACGCTGATTACGGCCGGCTGCGACGGACTTATCAGCGTTAGCGCCGCCGAAGCCGGAGCCAGTGAAGAAGCTCACCGCGGCGGATGTCATCGGCGCCCGCCTGAATGGAGCGCGAGCGCGCATCCGTAACTGCTGCAAGTAACACCGAGGCTGTCTCAATGCCGAGTTCAGGCGGTCACGCTATGGATGAACTTTTTGCTCACAGTAACCACAGTGTTCTGATAATAAGGCAGATGCTAATTTCAGTGCCGAATGCGGAAGAACGTCACAAAGGCGGAATCTATATTTTGGAGCATCTGTTTTCCCGCAATTCCATGGCTCTAACATTCGGCATTGGCAGAGGGCAGAAGAAAGCCGTCTCCCTATGCGGCTCATGTGTCTGTTCATCATGCCCGAGAGGACTGGAATCTCGTCAAAAATAATTGTTTCGGAGTCATTTTGTATCCATGAATACCAATGCACAGTCTCTACTTCTTCGCCAGTGTTGGATGGAAATATTCAGGGATTGGATGTTTTAATTTGCTCCTCTCCACTAGCCCTCATAGGCTGCATGGTATTGTTTCTGTAGCATTGCGTTGCAATACACCTGCCGACGCCTTAAACTGCCAGCTAAAGTTGGTTCCTACAAATGCTAGGATCCCGGCCGCCCAGTCACCCCAAAGCGTTGTGATTTGGGGAAGCGCTGGGGATGTGCCCGTAACTCACGTCCTCAACGGTACACAAGCGCTGAATGAGTCAATATTCACTAAAACCATTGAGGACGAAGGTCGCGATGACATATATCTCGTACACAACACAAAGAAAGGTTACCAAAATTTGTAGCGCACTAAGAGATACCATGGGCGTCCCTAATGTTGCTATCGTGCGTTAATGTCACCAAATGTGAAAGTCATGACAGGATAAAAGACGACCCCAAATGACGTCGTTTGACGTCTTGGAGGAAACTACGCATGCAATGAATTTACCCGTAAATACCGCGTGAATCGTTAATTGAGGCGTTGCGGGGTTGGCATGGTCCGTGTCCTGGAGCCGCTCGCCCGAACTTGTGTCGCCCACCACCAGAGCGAACCCCGCAGCCGAATCGAATTAGCCAAGTTTTCCTGCCCACCATTTATACCAACAAATGGCCGTGAAAGCCATCGCAATTCGAGGCCTGGCGGGATCCGGCCGTGTTGAGCAGCGGCCTCAACTTGTCCCATAGATCTCGCAGGCGTCGCCACGGAAGGGCTTCCCTCCCAGGCACCAGGCTGACGGCGTATATTTGAGGGTGGAAGGTGTGCGGCTCAGTCGGAGCACATGCATGATGTGAGCGAAGTACGGCCATGCTCAGTTGTACAGCTGGCGATGACGTCGGGCTCTTTGAAGGTGCCGCCATTCCCGTGGCCGATGGGATATGACCGAGAAGTTCTGTCGTATGCTCTGCTCGAGCCCCGGAGGATGACGAATTGTACGGTAATACCACCCTGAGGCGCCCGGTTGGGCTCAGGTAAGGGGGCTAGCCCGGCGTGGAGCGGCCGTGTCCCGGGTCGTAACTCAGTGCCGTAAGCATGCACCAGCCAACCTGGCCTCGTCAAAGGGCGTGCCCCATGTGCGCCGCGCCATTTGTCAGTTGAAATGGAACGGCGCTGAGCGCCCGAGTCGGTGACGATTCCCTGCTTATGCTGTCATCGTGCCTGTGCAGGCAGCAGACCTAGCGTAGAATGCTCGATCATCGGTCAGCCCATGCAAATAATTCAGATTATTTGTTGAGAATATGAACGCAACACACGGGGCTGAATTTGAGTGGGTTTGAATTTGGTTTTGAACTTGAGAGATATCTGATGTACCTCTTCTTGTTTCTTCTAACGCGTTTTTTCTAACCGCTTACCCGCACTTTTTCGGGTATTGCTGTCATCCTAACCCCGACTCTGAGGTCTGCGCGCAACATCTGTCGCTGCTTGTTTCGGCTGCCGTCCAACGCATGAGAATGGTAGTGACCCAAGGTCACCGAACTATGCCTTTGCTTAATTGGTTGTACAATGACTGTACATGCGCGGACAAAGAAATCGTGTTGTGCGAATGACACGGGCTGAGGATGGTCATCATCATCATATGCATAACAGTACGAGTAGGAAAATCACTCTGTCACCACCCAGATGATAGCCCGATGCACTAACTGCTGAAGTCATCAGCGCAAAGGCCTTCACGATAACTGTTACAATGAGAAACATGGAAAGAACGCGAACTCCATCGCCACCCCACGCTTGGCCCTTGAGTAACTCCCTCCATCCAACGCATCCGATGTGGCCTATACGCAATACCAATCGGGTTCCAAGTTACGTTCCTGTCACCAGCAAACCTTCATGGCGAACGCTGTGCAGATCAGTTCTAAAAGCGGCTGTCATCCATGATTTGGTTGACGCTGCAGTTTGTCAGACGCGGTCTGTACAGATTATCTCCACCGGTCTGCCACATGGCTTCGAGACCCACCTGATGTTTTGGGTGTATTGTCTAGGTTACTGCTCTGTCGTCCGATCTTCATCAAAAGCAAGTCCGGCCGAGGAACTCAGCCTTCACACGCCCCAAGGATTGGATTGATGAGAAGTGATCCAAGATCCATGAACCAAGGGGATCCTGTGACTGAGTTAGAGGTAATTGAGCCCAAAGTATATTTTGTACATCTTGCTACACACTTGAAAGTCTTAATGGCTTTCGGGTTTATGAAATCATTCGTCATACGGTGTTGATTGTCCACAGAGCAAAACATCGCTCTGGCAGATGAGAAACATACCATAATCCATGCAGTTCGAAAAATCTTACAGTTTTCTCTACGTCACTGTCCCACGATAAAGCGGCTGGAACTTCGCTGATAAAGCGAAGGTAAACGAGTGCAATGTGAGTACAGAGCACACAACAGGCACATGGCTATAATCAAAGCAAGACCCTATTGTCCGTCCAAGGACGTAAAACAGCTGTCCGTATCACCGCCTTCGCCACATACACACGAATAGACGCGTCAAAAACCCTGTCACAGCCGGAAAGCTATCACACATCGTCCGCGGCTCAGCCCCACACAGAGGGCAAGTTACGGCGGTGGCACAACGCTCATGACACGATGCCTACTCGCGACTAGGCACTGGCATCCGACTGGCCGGCTCACGTCGTCACCCAGCGGGGCACCGGGCGCGCCACCTGCCTCACACAGCACCGGCCGGACGGGACAACAAAGCCGCGACACGAGCGTGCACCGTGGGATAACCCTCCTCACCACCACGAGCGCCGTCAGCGACAGAGGGCCGGGTCCGTTTACCGCAGCTGACCGGGTCAGGGGGCAGCGCCGCTACACGCGGCCGCGGGCAGGAGGCAGCGCCGTGGCCGACCACACTGCAATATGTGTCGTCCGCAGGGTGCGTTGCCAGGGGGACATTAGGGCTTCGACGGAGACGGCACATCGCGCTCGCCGCCGCCGTCATCACTAAACGGGTCAAAACGGAACAGCAAACATCCCACGCCAAGTCCCGGTTCAACATGCTGCTTACGGAAAGCATCGAAACACAAAGTATACAACGCAGTCAAGTATGGCACAACCAGCTCAGCCTACAGCACGACCCGTGCTGTGCCTAGCCGAGTCACTGGCCGTCTTGTCCAGCAGCGCCCAGCCAGCGTCGCGCTGGAAGCTTTGACGACCGGGGGGGCGCGGAGCGCCCCCCCCCCCCCCTCTCCCCCTAGCCATGCGGCCGGCACCTCAGACTGACACCGCCCGGTCCGAGACCCTCCAGTCGGCCGTCTCCGCGCACCGCCGTCCACAGCCACAGTCAGATCCGGCTGCCGACCGTCACACGTCACCAGAATCTTCCACTGGCGATCGCTCTAGACTCGCGGCGCTGACGGCAGCGGCGGCGGCGGGAAGGTCGGCAGCGTCGGGAAGGCCGGCGGCGTCGGCACACTCAGCCGCTGCAGTTTGCGGCGCAGGTAGTTGACACGGTGCGTCTTATCCTGGAACTCGTACCAGGGCACCTGCCGGTCACGGGATGATCGGTCAGCGCGGCGGAACACAGCGCCCACCCCAGCTGGCTACCGGCCGGACCAACCCGGCCCGCATATCTCACAGCGGCTAACCGCCCATCAGCAACTGACACATCTGGCAGTTGGACAGTTGGCTCTGCCGCACGTGGCCGCGCCGGACACGCACCTCGACGACGGCGTATCCGACGCGGCGCAGCTGGCGCAGGCGCATCAGGAAGTTGCCGACCGGGTGCTGGTAGTTGCGCGTGTAACAGCTGCGGCCGCCGACCACGATGCAGCACCAGAGGCCGGTGTCTGGCGGAGGCCGCTTCACCGAGAACGCCGGCTGTGAGAGGAAGGCGGCCGGCAGCGGCAGCGGCGCGCCGTCCTCGCCCAGTCGCACCACCACGTCTGTCGCCAGAATACGCGCGGTCAGAGACATCGCAGCGTCCGACACGAGGACAGATCAGACCACATCAGACAAAGGATAGCCTCTGCAAAGGGTCACACAAAGGCTAGCAAATATCAGACAGGTCAGACAGGAAGCATAACCCCTCCTGCCGACGGGCCAGGACACGCCAGGCACGCCATAATTGCCCGAGCGTCAGATCACACCAAAACGGACCCGTATGCCTGCGTGGCATGTACTCTGCACATGCCACGCAGGTCGGCATCTGCCAACACCTGGCCGGTGGGGAGCACCACCAGTCTCCCAGGCCCCGGCCAAACCGCGGCTCCCGAGCACGCCGACCGGCGCACAGACAGGGGCCGAGCTGGCGGCCGACCCGGCCGTACCGGGCGTGACGAAGTGGGGCAGCACGTGCATGATGGCCAGCCAGTCCTCGCTGCCGAGCAGCTCGAGCAGCGCCGCACGCACCGCCAGGAGGGTTGTCTCAGCAAATGTCAGCCGACTCATGCCCGGCCGCGGCAGACGCGCCATGTGCTTCTGTAACAGGCGGCGCGGGACCCGTCAGGTCATTAGACATGACTCAGGTCATTGGGGAGTACTCAGGTCATCAGGGCAGGACTCAGGTCATCAGAACAGGAGTCAGGTCATCGGGGCACGGCTCAGGTCATCAGAGCAGGGCTCACGTCATCAGGGCAGGACTCAGGTCATCAGGGCAGGATTCAGGTCATCAGGGCAGGACTCAGGTCATCAGGGCAGGACTCAGATCGTCAGGACAGAACTCAAGTCATCAGGGCAGGACTCAGATCATCAGAGCAGGACTCAGAGCATGGCGAAAACACCTGGTTAGGCACAGCCCAGGCCTCCGCGGGGGGTATATGGTCAGCAAAATCAGATCATACAATACCCGGTTATAGTATAGGGAAAATAGTCAGTTCCTGATGGAAATATCACCATGATGTTTCGCACCCCTGGTTTAGGGACACGAAAATAATTGAAAATTGTGTAAAAGATGACACTGCAGCTTTTAAGACTCATTCTTGATCTGCATAAGCCGTAACGGGTGTTTTTATCTTAACGAATCTGCCGAAACGGATCATACACAGTTCTCTCCCACAGGCACTGTTGCAAGCGTATAAAAATGACTGAGTTGAAAGTCAACGATGCCGGAACCTTGGCAAACATACTTTTGTTATCCAAGACGAAACTAAGCTCTATTCCTCGACCAGGAGGCAACAGTGAAGCTCTTGTTCGACCCAGCGAATTGCTAAGTCACACAATCAAGTCGGCGTTCGACAGTCACAACGTCGCTAGGGCATTCAGCAGTACACCGGAACACTCATCAGGACTGCTCTGAATGCCACTGGCACACCAGCGTCGTCTGGGTGGCACCGGGTCTCGACTGCTCGACTGCAATACTTGTCAGCCGCCGGCTTTTAAAGAGACGCGTTACAGAAATCCCTGTTGTTGTGGCGCCCCGATCAAGGCTGCTCTGGCCGGCTTACATGCAACGTTGCATACTCACATTTAGCTCATACAGACCACCGAAAAGCTTATTTTAGCAGGTCTGTTATGGTACATACTTGGACTGCTTTCGTGCAGAATGCTGGTATGCAGGTCTGTGCAAGCCCCTGGCTTATAGGAGTGATTTAATGGCTTCAGATATGTCATGTGATGCGCCAGCTGCACATCGCCGACTCCACAGCGGTACGGCCATCGGACACGGCCGATGTGTACAGTGCGCAGTGACAGCGATCCAAGCCGGAGGTCGGAGGCTCGCGGGCGACTGGCCTGGAGCCGACCGGCGGCGAGCACTCACCACCAGCTGGTTCTGCTGGTACCGCTGCGGCAGCTGCGACGTGAAGCCAGGCAGCTCCAGCTCCAGCGTGCAGCTCAGCGCTGTCAGCTCACGCTCCAGGCCTCGGTACGACGACAGCATGGCGTCTGTGGGCGGGGCGCGGCCGGCCGTCAGCCCGGGCCATGCTCGGCGCCGCGCGCCACTCGGCCGGCTGCCAGCTTGACCGGCTGCTCGAGCCGCCCGGCCGGCCGCCGAGACCGCGCGGCCGCTCCCAGTACGCGTCCGACGCGACTGAACAACACAACCTGCAGCGACCGGCTGGCACGGCCGGCCGACTCCACCGCCGTCCGCAGTCTACCCGCCCAGCAGCACGCCAACATTTCATCCCGCTGTAGCAGCGCGAACACTGAGTCGTCCGCGGCTCCCACGAAGCCAATCACAAATAGCCACTCTCCCGCCATACCCGGCACGCCTCCCCGCCCACCCCGCTCCGCTCCCGGGCGGCGGCGGCGGCGGCGCTCCCCACCGTCAATGCCGGCCACGAAGGCGGGGCTGACGACGGCGCCGATCAGGTCGGCCGGGTGCACGCCATGGAAGGCCAGGTACATGAGGCACGACATCAGACACTTGGGGTAGGAGCGCCTCTCGTCGGCGCGCCGCTCGGCGCGCAGCTCCGACACCACGTCACGGAAGAACACCTCGCCCGGATTGAAGTTGAACAGCATGGTGGTGAACAGCAGCCGCTCAATGTCCTGCCAGCCAGGTGCACGTGTGAGCAGCACACGCGTCACATGGAGCCCCCTGGGGGGGGGGGGGGGGGGGGGGCAGGAGTCCGATAAGCACTGGCGCACAGCACACCACTGTAACTCGGCGCAAACCGTGCTTATACGCATGGAATTTGACTTTTCTGGAGCTAACCGCTCGTTCACGGCCGGAAGCCATCCAAGGACAGCTCCGTACAGCCCTACACGGACTCGCGGGGGACTTGTTCTTCACGAATGATCCGCAGGAACCCAGAACACTTCGCAGGACCGGATGTCATATCAGGGCGAAAGCGTGCCACTCAGCAGCTGTGGGTCCGGCCTCCTCCTCCCCCCCCCCCCCCCCACCCTCCCACCCGCACGCCGTCTCCCGGGCCTAGAGACCAACCTGCCGCCAAACCCGCTTCAGCTGCGACAGCCGCCAGCGGCCGGCCAGAAGCGGGCGGGCGAGGGAGCCCTCACCTTGAGCCGGATGGTGGCCAGCTGGCCGTGCAGGTGGGCAGTGATGCGCACCACCGACGCCGGGTGGTGCACCAGCGCCTGCGTGCCCAGCAGCAGCAGGTGCAGCTGCACCATTGAGTTGAAGCCGTCCGCCAGCGGCAGCAGCCTGTCGTATACGCGCTCCAGCACCTGCGCGCGCCGCGCACACCCGTCACCACACGATCGGACGGGCCCAGTGGCAACCCAATCCCACCGACTGACCGTCACAGGGAGGGGAGGTGCGCAGAACGGACACTGACAAAACACTCGCAAAATGCATCAAAACGTCCGCTTGGCCGTATTACCCAATCCCACCGACTGACCGTCATAGGGAGGGGAGGTGCGCAGAACGGACACTGACAAAACACTCGCAAAATGCATCAAAACGTCCGCTTGGCCGTATTACCCAATCCCACCGACTGACCGTCACAAGGAGGGGAGGTGCGCAGAACGGACACTGACAAAACGCTCGCAAAATGCATCAAAACGTCCGCTTGGCCGTATTACCCAATCCCACCGACTGACCGTCACAGGGAGGGGAGGTGCGCAGAACGGACACTGACAAAACACTCGCACAATGCATCAAAACGTCCGCTTGGCCGTATTACCCAATCCCACCGACTGACCGTCACAGGGAGGGGAGGTGCACGGAACGGACACTGACAAAACACTCGCAACATGCATCAAAACGTCCGCTTGGCCGTATTACCCAATCCCACCGACTGACCGTCACAGGGAGGGGAGGTGCACAGAACGGACACTGACAAAACACTCGCAACATGCATCAAAACGTCCGCTTGGCCGTATTACCCGATCCCACCGACTGACCGTCACAGGGAGGGGAGGTGCACGGAACGGACACTGACAAAACACTCGCAACATGCATCAAAACGTCCGCTTGGCCGTATTTTTTAGTCGCGGCTCTTACCTGCCAGCGTTTGGCCGGCACGCTCAGCCTCAGCAGCTTAAGTATGGCGCACACCGTCTTGGGCTTGGCTGTCTCCACGCAGTGCAGCAGCTTGTAGACGATGGCGTCCACCAGCTCGTCCGATCGCAGAGGTGTGCGTGTCTTGAAGAAGCTCATACAGATGATGCCAAGCTCGTCCACGGACAGCATCGGCAGACACTCGAGGATCTTGCGCTCCAAGTCAAACTGCGAAGGGCAGCACGCCGATCAACAGCCGTCGCAGATCCGGACATCCCACCGTCGGAACAAGACGTGGTCATCAGATTCTGACACCTAACCATCAGAAGTCGCCCGAGTCATCAGATTTGGACGCCCATCAGCACCCGCCGGAGTCATCAGATCTGAACACCCTATCCTCAGCACTCGCCGGAGTCATCAGATCTAAACAACCTACCATCAGAATCCGACGGAGTCATCACATCTAAACACCCTACCATCAGAATCCGACGGAGTCATCAGATCTAGACACCCTATCATCAGAATCCGACGGAGTCATCAGATTCGGACACCAAATCATCGGCGCCCGCCGGAGTCATCGTCATCGGAGGTTGACCAGCGCGAGACATAGAACCTTGCACCATGTGAAATACGTCACCGCGGTCAGGTGCTCAGGGGACCGCTAGGCTTGATTGGTGCATTCTGCCATCTCCGGCCATCTGCCGTCTTGTCATGCTGGTGACGTCCTTAAGTCAAACAATTTCAGTTGGATGTAAACAGGGAATAGATCAGGGCTGCCAGGAGGCACATGGCGTTCCCTAAAGCGCAACGACAGATAGCAATATGGTTGAACTGTCAGCAGGTCAATGGGAGATATCGTGCAGCTGAAACATTTAGCGCGCCCTGCGCCGAACGACTGCCTCAGCTTCGTTGTCAGGGCACGGGGAGGACACTTGGCTCGCGCCTTTTGTTTCCCGGATTATTTTGCATCAACTGGCGGAGTGAATTGGACAGAAAGTGGACGGACGGACACAACATATTCTTTCAGCCCAACTACGACTGTATGGAAAAATGAGCGAATAACTTGGAGCAGCATGATGCTTCAAACAAGCCTGAGCATCAATTCCGTTGAATCCGACAGAGGTTTTATGCCAGCTATTCCCCGTTGGTAGCATTTCAACAGCAGAGATAAATATCGCTGGCCAGTGCAGCGATTTTCCGTTGACAGGGGCAACAGCACAAAGTCCACGTCGTCAGGAGACTGTCGGCACGGCGGCTCCCGGTCCCACTGAAGGTTGCGTCACCCCTGTTTGCGCGATCGCGTCAGCGTTGTGCCCGGTCACCAGCCGCATCAGACGACCGGGCCGACAGCGGCGCCGGCTTCCCAGCCGCTCGTGTATCAGACAGGTGGCGGCCGATACCAGCCGGCATCAGCTGATCGTCCTGACGCTATCAGCCAGCCCCAGGCAGGCAAACCGAGCCCGTCCCCGAACATCAGCCCAGCGCAGCGCGACGCGCTGAACACCGTATCGTGGCGTTACGCCCATGAATGCTGAGCAGAGGAGAACTATTCCGCACTGCGAGGCTTGACGTTACCTGGTTGTGTAAACACACCATCCACGCATGTGCAGGCTGCGAACAAGTCATGTGCATGCACATGAAACAGGGGTGCACGCGGGCAGCGCAAGCCTCGGTCGCCTCTTGGGTAGTGACAAGAAAATGTTCGAAACTACGGGGGACGGTGAGAAGAAATCCCCAGTCAAACTGGTTATCACGCATCTGTAATTGAAGACATTTACCAAGCACCTATGCATTATGCATAAACACATTTGAAGATAACCTGACACCAGCTTATCCCCCGGGGAACGGTGAAACTGAGCATGCTTGGTTTAGGCTGCGGTCTTTAAATTACTCCCGCTATATTTCAACGTATTTTTTTTCTCACGATTTTCACATACCAACCCTCTTTTCTACCCACCCAATTTCAATCGACTTTGAACGGGAGACTGGGTAGATACTCATGTACCTAGACAAAACAAAAGTCAAAAGCGCAAACTATCACACAGCACTGCATCAGCACCGCCTGGCGGAGAGCAATGACATCACCGATACGGGATTACGATCCGCTGGGATTATCTCCGATCGCTTTCCCAAGTGAGCGCCTTCCCTGTTTACTAACCAGACCACATGCTTAACAAGGAACATGCACCCAGTCAGCCGGCCGCCGGCGAGTCAGCCTCCACAGAACGGCGGTCAGAGTGGCCCGATGTGGCCAAGACGCGCCGGCCGGCCAGCCCGAGCAGTGTCGTACCCGGGAGCAGAGAGTCCCGCGACACCGCGCTCGGGCCACCGCCAGTCCAGCCACGGCAGACGGAGGGGCGCGGGCGTGTCCACCGCCCCCCCCCCCCCCCCCGGCGCCCAACTCGCTCGCGCGGCGCCCAGGCGACAGATCCCAACCGCTGAGGAGCCGTCTTCGACGACACAGCCCCTACCGGTTACAGCTTTGTCAGCGTTGACTCCGCATGATCAAGCTTTTGGGCCATGTCCCACCAAAACAAAAGCAACCAGAGCGTAATTTGTGCAATGACACAATCCTTTATCGCAGAACCTAAACACTGCATCTGCACGCGTAAACCACAAGTCAACGAATGTTAAGTTGGTACCGGTAGGCAGCTTAAATGGTTAATTTACTTGAATACTGCCTGGGATATAATGATATTTACTTCCAACTTGAACACTTTATTTAATTCAAGTACTCTATGAAACGATTATTACAATTAAACTTCACTTCGTGGCGTTTTTTTTCTTTTTTTTTTTTGCTCATCATTCAGGCACCTCTCGGAGGGAAACGTGGGAATGATGCCACGTACCACTCGCCTATGTTTGTGTGCATCTGGCACGTCATTCCCGTCATATTATTCATCTATGCGCATCCCAAAATTCAGTCTTCCAGAATGATACCTCTCAAAACTGGACACAACATTATGCCCTGAAAATAATGGATTTTCCAGCCACACTTTTTATTTTTGGATAGCCGATTTCTTCCGCATACAAGCTAAGTCGTGGCAAGTGCGTAATGTACTCTGTTCTTCGGTCTTTTAGTTTGTTTAGTTTTAGTGTTTTAGTTTGTTATAACATTTGTTTGTTGTTATACGTCGCGTGGTGGTGACAACACTGAGCGAGCGTGCGAGAGGACGAGAGAGTAAAAGGGAGACATAGAGGGAGAGGGAGAGGGAGAGGGAGAGATGGAGACAGGGGGAGGGGCAGGGCGGAGGGGTAGGAAGAGAGGATGGGGAGGGAAAGAGGAAGGGGAACAGGGAGGGAGAAAGAGAGACGGTATAAATAGTTGGCGGCTATGGATAGTGTGTGGTGACATGAAAGTGAGTGTTGAGTAAATAGTGACCTATAATAAAGAAGGGATTTTCTCAAGGTCGTACACAGGTGTACAGTATCTATTTGCCACATCTCACATTCAGTCGTGCCGAGTGTCATGCTGCCCAGCCTCGCTACAACGGAGCGGCGGCGTTTTCATTTGCATCACGCCTCGCATAATGCTTCAATTATATACGCATGGAATCGTAGAAGCTCAGACTTCTTTGGGCTATCAACGGCACACACCAACCAGCAGAACCATCAGAACTCGGGTACGTTTTGGCGACAACGAGCTTCCGAATCGACAATCTGACCCGATTATCATTTCGCGCCACAAACCACTGACTGGCGAGTGGCCGGTTCGAGCAGTGAGCCCGCCCCGCCGGCACCCACCTGCTTCACGGAGCCCAGGCGACGCGACAGGTTGACGAAGAACAGGTACTGCACGAGTTGGGCCGGTGTCAGCTGGCGCAGCTGGCGTCCCAGCCGCTCTAGCATGAGGCCGCTGTAGCGGGTCAGCCGGCTGACCTGCAGCCGGTACCACAGGTCGGCCACCAGCAGCGTGCGGTCAGCGTCCCAGCGTGCCAGCCGGCGGCAGCACTCGACGTCAAGCGCCTGCCAGAGCCGGCGGAAGCTGAGCGCGTCCAGCTGCGAGCTCGGCGGCCACGACAGCAGCGCCGCCAGCAGGCGCACGATCTGGTCATCCGAGTACTGGCTGCAGCGCGCCGCCAGCGCTCCGTCCGTCTCCGGCGCGCCGTCTTCAGGCAGCGCTGCCGGCCCGGGAGACACGCTGAGGCGACTGAGGGCGCTGACCAGCGAGTGGGCCGCCTGGGCGCCCCAGCCGGCCGGCCGGCCCGGCGCCGCCGCCTCGCCGGCTGCCCGCTCCTCGCCCAGCACGTGGTAGTGGAGCGTGCGGCGGTACGCCGGCAGGCCGGACATCACCTCGTGCGCGAACTCGTTCTCGCCCTCACGGAACTTCTTGCCCGGCGGCAAGTAAGTGGAGAGGCAACGGTGCTGGGCGGGGGGCGCCAGCGGCGGCGGCGGCACGCATGTGAAGAGCGGTAACAGCGGGCTGACGGCCGGGTGCGCCGGCGCCGACCGATCCGAGCTGTCCGGCACGACCGAGTTGGGTCGCACATAGCGCGCCGAGTTGAAGAACTGTCGCGAGAGCTGCGCCGCCGACAACCACGCACGGTGGGACGCCATGGCTGGGCAGGCTCAATGGCCGGAGCTGAAACGACAGAAACAAGCCGCACGCCGTGATGCCGTAAGCATGTGGGCTTGACTGGATACACAGCCGTGTGTGTTGTGTTAACCCTGACTCCCACCGTCTGATCGTAAAACCACAGTTCAATGACAGCATCTGGTTTTGAGCTTAAACAGCCATCTTGAAGATGCTTCGCTGCAGTTCACAGCCATGCTCTTCTTAAAACCTATACCCCTCTAGTTTCTGAGCTACACACCGCGAAATGTACAGACTATTTCAAGATCACCCACACATGCATGACAGCATGCCATTCAAATTCTGCGATTTCATTAACCATGTGGGGATCAAGGCCAATGAAAATATAATTGAGTAGTTCATATCAAACGCTTGTGAGCACAATTTCCAGACATAACGGCCGTCAACTGGCTATTGTCAATTGGCTCTCAATCAATGCTGCGCACGGTACGGTGTCGTAATCAAACAATGGCGTATTCAGAAGCATACTTACCAACCAGAGCAACTTTGCTGTCTAGAGCGGTCTCTTCAGCTTAAAAGTATACCAAAAGTTATAAATGAGCTTATTTCATCATATCTGTTGATTCTTTCAATATCTCCGACTGTAAAACGCTCCTTTTCACGCGCCACAATACTCGGCACGGATTCCTGACCTTATGCCCCCGACCTTGTCGACCCTACACCGGCCGACCCCCGTTTTGACTCTAAACTGCCCAGCGGTCAGCATGACCCAGAAAAAAAAAACACTCAGTGAGGAGCGCAAAAGTATACTGCTTCCAATGTAAAACAATTGTATGCCAAAAATATGTTCAGACTGGGCATGTTTGCAACCTTCTGTGATCCAATTGTAGCATGCATAGCCAATGGGCCTGGATGATGCCCCCAAAATCCTAGAAAAGGCTTAGAGGGCCATATTCGTGAACTTGGACCGTCAGAACTTCCTTTGTGGCGCAAAACCACAAGTTTCCATTGCTTCCAGTGCATCTTCGTCTCTGTATCCTATAGTGGAATCCATGATTCCTTCATTGTGATGACAAGGCTTAAAAAATTGCCAGGGTCAGCCAGATGACATCCTAGAAGTGGCTGGCATGCGTCAGTTAGCAGCTCTGCCTTTGATTCATTCAGTTGATAGGGCACCCATTTTCAAGATTTCATCCGAACCGTTTGATCGGATGGATTTCTGGGATCAGAGCTGACGCTATGCGGTGCTTGTTGTGTGAACCTTACCCATAACACCTGGCCATGCATGCCATGTAGGCGGTAGAATAAGGCGGCGAAAGTTTAACGTGCCACCATGCTCGGCACGGTTCGTCCCACCGTCTGACGTCACCTGACCTTCAGTGCGACCGTTGCCACCGGCCGCAGGTCACACTTGTCAAGGCCAAATAGCAAACGTCTAAGGTGACTCGAAACTTACCCGCCACGGGCGGGCAGATCGACATGCAGGCGCTCTAACCAACTGACCTAATGAGGTGGACATCACCCTGAATGAAGACCCAGGTCGGGGAGGGGCGACGCATATTGCCTTAGCCTTCATCACTGCAAGGTTGTCAGTCATCATGTGACAAACAGTTCTAAGGAAGAGGCAAAGATGCCCAGCTATCCCATCAGTGGTGATTTTTCTGTCATCTTTGACAAAGGCTTTTCCGCAGGCAGCATCCTCGGTGGTTAATGGGGTCCAAGGCTGCCCAGCACGCCACAGGTCACTGTGGCCCTCTCTTTCGGCTTCAAACTTGCCCACCCACTCTCAGACTGGACCACCACTCAGAGTGGTGTTACTGCAGACTGACAGAAGTTCTTGTCTGAATCTCACATGCAGGCTGTCCTTTCGCAGACAGAAATTTGATAACTGAACACTGCTCCAAAGCAGAAAACGTAGTCACCATGACATCCAACGCAACAGTATAAAAAAGATTAATTGTGACATCTAGTACATCAGTAAAAACTGTGACTTAATGGATATGAAGGGTTGACCTGTAGGGGTATAAATTTATGGCTTTTATTAGTCATGGATAGCACATGATCACCATCAAGAATAGTGCACACAGACAAGTTTTACTTAAGCAATGTTTAAAAAGCAGCCATTATTTTTGAACTGCACCTCACTCCTAGGTCTTTGATTTCAGCAGTGGCATATCTCCACAGGTGACAAAACAAACTGTGGGAGGGGTAAGTGGACATAGAAAAAGGGCAAATGAATGGATGGAATATGGCCTATGATTACCATGTTGAGCACTATTTGGCCCATCAATTATGTGTGAGGTATATATGGTTTTAATACTGTTTTATGTATATTTGAGAGTCCGCAAAATCAGATACTTATCACAACACTGACGCCGCAATAAATGTTCATGGTGCAAATACAATGTTCATCTTTTGTGCTTGCTGTTTAGTCATTACAAAGCTACATGGCACAGTATGTGTTGGGTCTCTTTTCAGCCTATTTCTACAACATGAGCATGGGCAGTTAGTTTTACCTCACATTTTCTGTGGACTACCCTACCAACCTAGTATGCCTTAGTGCAAGAATGCACTGATTCTGGCACATGTGCCAAAGTGGAAAAACAAACTGAAACTTAGTCTGCACTAAACTGTGCTGAGTTTTCAAAATAATTTTGCTTTGAAACAACTTTTGGGAGTTGTATTTCAAATCACTTCTATGATGCTTACTCCTTGAAACCATTGCCTCTCTATATGCTGCAATTTGTTGCAAATATGAGTCTGCATGGGCTAAAATATTGCTGGAATACTACTGGGCCAAAAAGCACACCACACAACTTAAGTGTAGCTGAGCACTTCTGGTCTGGACAGTATCTATCTTACAAAGGGCAGTATATGACCCACTGCTTGAAAATATTATATGCTTGATTGGGGGTGAATTTTATCTCCTCCACAGGTTTCTGGATGGTGCAGCATAGCTGCACCAAATTTTGCATAGCTATAAACAATTGAATAGCTGATCACATGATTAGATGCATCCTGTCAGGTTGCTGACTTACAGGAGGTCGAAGTCAGGTTGTGGATTCAGCAAAAACAATTTCTATGGAATTGTTCAACCTGATGCAATGACAGAATGTTAGATTGAGCCATACATCTGATAAATTCCAAGGATACAAAACAATTGAATGAACAAATTCCATCAACCTATGGTCAGGTATGAAGGTCAGATCAAGGCCAAAACCAACCTGATAATCACTTTATAGCTTACTGTATGGGATTTCTGGCACTGATATCAAATTCAATGATTACAAGAACTGTACTACATATCTTTCATGGGCATCTTAAAGGCCAAAATATGTCACTGACCTCAATGACCCAGGCCAATATTTTGTTTAATTTTTTCAGAACATGCTGCCTACAGTGATCTGCAAAGTTTATTTAAATGTAAACCTCAAAGCAGTCTTGTATGATTTTGGTCCCTAGCACTCTTAGTTTCTGAGATCTCAGGAGGAGGTCAAATTGCCCTCCCAAACCCACCTGAGTGAAGGGAATTTGACCAGCCACCTGGGCACATGTCACAATGTCTCAGAATGAAATAATTTAGCCAAAATCCTAACTTAAAACTATCAAAGTTCCTAAATCTGTAAAACTAGATCAAATGAGGTGACCATTGAATGGCATCCAAACATCTAAAAGGACACACAACTAGCTTTTATCAAAGTTTAAACTGACAATGACTTATTTGAGAGCACTTTAGACCAGGCAACTGACCGATGACTTACCCCACAAATCATAGTACAAACAATTGATATAAAATGGAAGAAACATCGAATGGCTCAATCCACCAGCTTGTCAGAACATTCAAGCATGACCTGTCCTTCTCTTGTTACTTACAGTGGTCTCATACACACCTGAAGCCTATGGGATGAAAACATCCCTAAATGGAACACACCAACCAGCTGCTCCTGACATTATGAGATATGCACCAAATTCCAAACTCTGTTATTATTCACAATCATTGTGATACTCTCTTACTGATTTGCATAAAACATGTCAGATATACCAAAGGCTCAATATTACATTCAAATGTCAGCAACTGCAAATAACTCAAAAGCACTAATCTGTCTAAAAACAAGTTATGTAAAGACAGCAAATGTTATTTCATTGTCTACAATTACATAATTTGTGCCTGCACCTGACCGAAAATTTTATTCATGGAGCATGACTAACCCCAAGAAAAGGAGAAAGACTAGAAACACAATCTAAGCCTTATTAAAATGAGGAAGTTATGAGCAGCATCTCGCTACGCGACACCTTATCCTTATCCTCCTGTCCGTTCACTTACAGAATTGACCCAGCCCACCCACCGATGAGATCATCAAAACCTGCGGTTCTAGGATTTAGGTCCAAACCGAAATGTCGTATCAGGACGCAGCCATGTACATACACAATACCTTTTGCTAAAAGTAGACGGGTCTTGAAGAAGCTTGCCACACCAATAGCAATCACAATCTATGCGGATGGTAGACGCGATGCAATACGAACCATGAGCAGCCCATCTCGGAGTTGATTGGTTACTAGCCAGCCGCCCGAGTCATTCCAGCTGACGGTAATAAGGGTAGCAAACGGTAGACAGCATTGAAAGAAGACCAGCGGGTTTATAATATGACGCAATCGCGGTCTCAGGCTGCGATAAAATCACCTAGTGATGCTGCACGTTTGTGTTATTTTCTTAGTGTCTGGTCATTGCCATAGCCTACAATTTTTTTCTTAGTTTTTATTCTCCATGTGATGGCAAGTCATTTCAATACATTCTCGAGAATATTTAGTACGTATCTTTGCTAAGAGGAGAAGCGGTGTTTAGTACCGATTCGTACAACACATCCCCGAGAATATTTAGTACGTATCGTTGCTAAGAGGGAAACGGTGTTTAGTACCGATGCGTTTCGTACGCTTAAATACTAAACAGAGTAGCCCGGTAAGCATATATTTTTCGTACAAGCGTATCCTAGCAACCGCTAACAGCGGTGTTAGAAGTCGTGCTGAGCAAAATAGCCCAGCTATCAATGTTCTGGTAAAAAATGTTTTGTCTTACCAAATGTCAGAGGTGATGAGAAATAGATTTATAACATTATTTTATATATACGTTTATATTTACTGTAGCTCAACAACTAGCTTTCAAGAACAGCAAGAAACAAGAATTTGGAGCAGGGAAGCTGAGGCCACGAAAACCTACATTGTCGATCATATGTTGGATGAAAGCAATGGAAATGCAGCAAAACTTCCCCAAATATTTTGTGTTTGCTTCTTTCTTTTATTTCTATGCATTCTTTTTTGTAAGCAGTTTATACGTCAACCGAGCCGTCCAATGGTCATAAGATCGCCACGTGGTTCAGGGCCTTAAGATCGCATTTCGTTGAGGGCCTCGACTTCTCGGGCCGCGGACAAATCGCAGCTGAGCCAACGATCTTATGCTCCCCTCTTCTATTTCTCCCACTTCCACCTTACTCGGCCGTAAAGACGTGGATCCCTACAAAAAAAACACGCCATGCTGATGAAAATCCGACAGAATGCAGTCCTTGAAGGATTTTGGACGATGCAGTATCTTCGATCCCATATCCAATTTCCGACTCGCTTTTGCCACTCAATCCTCAGATACCAAAGGCAAACATAAAAGCATAGGAACCTAAATACACTCTTATAAATGTACCTAAGGTACCCACATAAAGAGAGAATGGGTGCGGCTAGTCCTTTTTTCATTTCCTCACCTCTCAAGAGCATTTATAATTTCTGCTTAAGACGACATGAAGAAGAATACCACCACAAGAAGAACTTGATATTTGTTCAGGTCTAGCGCATTACTGACGTAATTGCTTGATGACACGGATAAAACCGTTCGATAGCCTTCGATAAAACCATGTGTTGATATGAACTAGGTTCATAGACCTTCTGGTGCATATCAAGTGGTTGAAATTGCTTGTGCGTAGTCATGCTGCTCCCCATTTGAAACACCTTCAAAGCTTTACCTCACGTCTAGAGCGGCCTTTCGACAGGGCTGTTTAACGTTGGAATGACAGTGTCCTTGGCGGTTTGTATGTACCCAAATTGTATGAGGAATAAATGAGGTAAATGTGCGAATGAATACACATGCACATTTTTATTGATCTTGTGTGGTTAGGCCAGACTTGTCAGCCAATTTTCTATTAAAAGCAGTCATTGTTTCCGCCCCTGAGTGTCGTGGATCTCTTCTTTGGCACCACTAAGATTGGGTTTGTTAGATGCATGTGTGATGATATACTGAAATTAGATACTGAAAATGAGAAACAGGACTCTAGCACTGTTCCGGTGTATTTAGTTCCTGAGTAAAGTTGAGTGCTGCGTAAAGACCAAATGTGTAAAGACCATTTAGCATAACATATCTGACAGTTTGGATCACCCTGCATGACCAGGTGATTTTCAGTTACAGTCGTTGTCAGAGTTGGCATCAGAATTAGCTTTGATATTCAATAAATATGCTTAATTTACCAACGGCTTTGTCAATCGAAAATGAGTCTTCTCGGTTTGTCAACTAGGTAGTGCTGCAAACTGGGGTTTGGAAACAATGTGCAAATTAACATCAATCTTTGTGTCTTCCATTTAATTGAAAAGACAGAATTAAGATTGTCAGAATGTTGCTGACTTTCTTCACAGGTTGGCATAATGCAAGATGTTTCGCCTGCAACAAAGGCATAGTTTTGGAAGAATATATCTGTTGTGTCTCCAATCTGTTTATTAATGTTAACGTGAGTTCCATTTACAAAGCATGGACAACCAAACGCACGGCACGGCGGCTCCGCCGGGCCGACTGCCTCCCAACGCCCGACAGTGGCGCCACTCGCGATGCGCCCATGAACTACAACCACGATGTCGAGGCTACGATACAACACCCTCCGCCCCCATACTGGAGCTTCCCTACAGCCTGAAACGCAGCGGAGGTCGGATGGTGCGCGCTGATCGGCGCGGCTGCGTCTCGTGACGCGGCGCGCTGGCCGTGCGTGCCTGCCCCGTCCGCAGGGGCGGCGCGCTGACGGCGCGCGGCTGCTCCGTCTGCTGGTACTCGGCGTCCGGCCCGTCAGGAGCTCGGTTCTGTTGAGCTGATTCCGGCTCCGTGTTGGTCTGGTCGCGACCACCTGCCTCCTCCCTGGCCGGTGCCGGTCGCTCTTCCTCCTCCTCTGCTCTCTCCCCGAGAGAGCTGTGAGCCTCCGGGATCTGATGCTGCTGCGGCGCCGCGCGGTATGCCATCAGAAACGTGCACAGCCGGCGAGACAGGGAGCCCCCGTCCCTCAGCGCCGCCTTGAGGCCGTTCTTAACGGTCTGAACCACTCGTTCGGCAGCCCCATTGCTGCTCGGGTGGTATGGTGCTACTCTGACGTGTCGTACACCGTTCTCACTCAAGAATTCCGCGAACTGTGACGCTGTGAACTGAGGTCCGTTATCGGAGACAAGCTGCCGTGGTATACCGAAACGAGCGAACATGGCTCACAGCTCCCGGACCGTGCTCTCTGTGCCCGTGTCTCTCATCGGACACACCTCCAGCCATTTGCTGAAACTGTCACGTACCACGAGGAAGCGGGAGCCCTGAAACGGCCCGGCAAAATCCACATGGATTCGTCCCCACGGGCCGCCAGTCGGCTCCCAGGTATGCAGCGCGCTCCGTGGCGGGGCTCCTCGCTTTTCTACACATGCGGTACAATCCCGCGCCAGTGCCTCCAGTTCTGTGTCCATTCCCGGCCACCACACGTACCGGCGCGCCACTCC